AAATGGGATTTGGATCCCAATGGAAGAAGGGACTTTGGATCCCAAAAAATGGGATTTGGATCCCAATGGAAGAAGGGACTTTGGATCCCAAAAAAAGGGACATTGGATCCCGGGAAGATGGACTGGAGTCCTGGGTAAAGGTGGGATTTGGATCCCCAAAAAGGGGACTTTGATCCCAAAAAAATGGACGTGGAGTCCTGGGAAAAGGGACCTTGGAGAAGGAGGTTGGATCCTGGGAAAAGGAGGGACTCTGATCCCAAAAAACGGGACGTTGGATCCCAGAAAAAAAAGGACTTTGGATCCTGGGAAAAGACCTTGGGAAAAGGGACCTGGAGTCCTGGGGGAAAGAAGGGATTTGGATCCCGAAAAAAGAGATTTTGGATCCTGGGAAATGGGACCTTGGATCCCAGGAAGATGGACCTGGAGTCCTGGGAAAAGGGACTTTGATCCCAAAAAATGGGATTTGGATCCCGGGAATATGGACCTCAGGTCCTGGCGAAAGGAGGGACATTGGATTCCCGGGAAGACGGACCTGGAGTCCTGGGAAAATGGACCTTGGACCCCAAAAAATGGGATTTGGATCCCAAAAAACGGGACTTTGATCCCAAAAAAATGGGACCTTGGATCCCAGGAAAGGAAGGTACGTTGGATCCCAGGAAAACGGATGTTGGATCCTGAAAAAAGGGACCTTGGATCCCAAAAAATGGGATTTGATCCCAAAAAAAAGGGATTTGGATCCCGGGAAGACGGACCTGGAGTCCTGGAAAAAGAAGGGATTTGGATCCCAAAAAAGGGGACTTTGATCCCAAAAAAATGGACGTGGAGTCCTGGGAAAAGGGACTTTGATCCCAAAAAATGGAATTTGGATCCCGGAAAAAGGACCTCAGGTCCTGGCGAAAGGAGGGACATTGGATTCCCGGGAAAATGGACCTTGGATCCCAGGAAAGGAAGGTACGTTGGATCCCAGGAAAACGGACGTTGGATCCCAAAAAATGGGATTTGGATCCCAAGAAAAAAGGACTTTGGATCCTGGGAAAAGGACGTTGAGTCCTGGGAAGATGGACCTGGAGTCCTGGGAAAAGAAGGGATTTGGATCCCAAGAAAAAGGGATTTGGATCCCAAGAAAAAGGGATTTGGATCCCAAGAAAAAGGGATTTGGATCCTGGGAAAAGAACCTGGAATCCTGGGGGAAAAAAGGGACTTTGGATCCCAAAAAAAAAGGGACTTTGATCCCAAAAAAAATGGGATTTGATCCCGGGAATACGGACCTCAGGTCCTGGCGAAAGGAGGGACTTTGGATTCCCGGGAAAATGGACCTTGGATCACGGGAAAAGAACGGACATTGGATCCTGAAAAAAGGGACCTTGGATCCCAAAAAATGGGATTTGGATCCCAAAAAACGGGACTTTGGATCCCGGGAAGACGGACCTGGAGTCCTGGGAAAAGAAGGGACTTTGGATCCCAAAAAATGGGATTTGGATCCCAAGAAAAAGGATTTTGGATCCTGGGAAAAGGGACCTGAAGTCCTGGGGAAAAAAGGGACTTTGGATCCCCCCCAAAAAAGGGACTTTGATCCCAAAAAATGGGATTTGGATCCTGTGAAAATGGACGTTGAGTCCCGGGAAGACGGGCCTGGAGTCCTGGGAAAGGGACTTTGGATCCCAGGAAAAGAAGGGATTTGGATCCCGAAAAATGGGAATTTGGATGTTGGGAAAAGGGATTTTGGATCCCAAAAAAAGGGACTTTGGATCCCAGGAAAATGGACCTTGGATCACAGGAGAAGGACGTTGGATCACGGGAAGGGAAGGTACGTTGGATCCCAGGAAAAGGATGTTGGATCCCAAAAAATGGGAACTGTGGATCCTGGGAAAAGGACATTGGATCCTGGGAAGACGGACCTGGAGTCCTGGGAAAAGAAGGGATTTTGAATCCCAAAAAAAGGGATTTGGATCCCGGGAAAAGGGGACTTGGATCCCAAGAAAAAAGACTTTGCAAACTGGGAAAAGGGACCTTGGAAAAGGATGTTGGATCCTGGGAAAAAATGGGACCTGGATCCCAATGGAAGAAGGGACTTTGGATCCCAAAGAATGAGATTTGGATCCCAAAAAATGGGATTTGGATCCTGGGAACAGAACCTGGAATCCTGGGGGAAAAAAGGGACTTTGGATCCCAAAAAAATGGGATTTGATCCCGGGAAAAGGACCTCAGGTCCTGGCGAAAGGAGGGACTTTGGATTCCCGGGAAAATGGACCTTGGATCACGGGAAAAGAACGGACGTTGGATCCTGAAAAAAGGGACCTTGGATCCCAAAAAATGGGATTTGGATCCCAAAAAACGGGACTTTGATCCCAAAAAAATGGGACCTTGGATCCCGGGAAGCCAGACCTGGAGTCCTGGGAAAAGAAGGGATTTGGATCCCAAAAAAAGGGATTTGGATCCCAAAAAAAGGGATTTAGATCCTGGGAAAAGGGACCTTGGAAAACGATGTTGGATCCCCAAAAAATGGGATTTTTATCCCAGAAGGGACTTTTTTTGGGATCCAAGGTCCTTTTTTTGGGATCCAAAAATTTTAAAATTCCCTAAAAAAATCCCAGAAAATCCATCCAAAAAATCCCTCCCAAAAATTCCAGAAAATCCACCAAAAAAGAAAAAAAATCCCTAAAAAATTCCGGAATTCCAACGACTCCGACTCCTCCTCTGAGGGAGGAGATTGGGGATCCCAACCCGGCAGGATTTCAGGAAAATTTCCAGAGATTTCGGGACAATTCCCAGAAATTTGGGATTCTTGATGATTTTGGGATCATTCCCAGCGATTTGGGGACAATTCCCAGAAATTTGCCCTGAAAATCCCCCCAAATTCCCATTTTTTACTCCCAAAACCCCCAAATTCCCATGTAAAAAAAAAAAATCCCATTTTTTCCCCAAAATCCCCATTTCCCCTCCAAATCCCCATTTTTCCCCATAAATTCCCCATGATTCTGGAAAAAAACAATTTTTCCCGAAAAAAATCGCCATTTTCCAAAAATATTCCCATTTTTTCCCGAAAAAAATCCCCATTTTTCAAAAATATTCCCATTTCCCCCCAAAATGCTCATTTTTCCAAAAAAAATTCCCATTTTCCCCCCAAAGATTCCCATTTTCCCCCAAAAAATTCTGATTTTCCCCCAAAAAAATCCCATTCTTCCACAAAAAATTCCCATTTTTCAAAAATATTTCCATTTTCTCTCCAAAAAATCCCCATTATTAAAAAAAAAAATCCCATTTTTCCCCCCAAAATCCCCATTTTTCCAAAAAAATTCCAATTTTTTCATCCAAAAATCCCTATTTTTCAAAAATATTCCCATTTTTCCCAAAAAATTTCCCATTTTCCCAAAAAATTCCCATTTTTCCCCCTTTTCAGGGCGAAGATCCCTTCACGGACGAGGCCCCGGACGGGGACGACGGAGCCGAAGAATCCAAAGAATCGGAGGAAAAACCGGAAAAACCGGAAAATTCCGGGGATTTGGGGGATTCCGGGGATTTGGGGGATTCCCGGGATTTGGAGAATTCCCGGGATTTTCCCCAGGAATTCCTGAAATCCCTGGGGGAGCCGGAGCAGCCCCACAAACCCCTGCG